ATAGTGCCTTGTTCCTAAGAGAACACAGTTTGCTAGACCGTTTGTCTTGGTGTACAGACATATAGGACTGCTTCTCAACAGCTCAGCTTTACACACGATGCCTCTGGTTGGAGACTTGGAGATGCTGTTGACTCTCGGAGGATCATTGGGGCTGGTGGTGAGCTTTAGTGGCCAGTGCAGTGTAGCTAGATCCTGTTGGCAGCATCAGAAGTTGCCTTTAGGGCCTGTTATTTCAAGATCACCTGCCTGTTGCCTACCAGAACATGGAGCTCAGTAGTGTTTATAGTAAAGTGGGATTGGTGAAAGGGAAGTTTCAGCACAAGGCCATGTAGATTTCTGTTTCTTAGCATTATTGTTGACACTCTGGTCAGTCAGGGCCTGATGGAATTAGAAGGAAAGAGATCCAGCCTGGACTCTCAAACTTCTGGGGACTCCATCAAAGCAAGGTCTGATGACTCCTGGTGATTGTGCTTATGGAAACAAGAAATCTGCTTGCAGAATGAATGCTTTCTTCTTAGCACTTCCTTGCTTATGAAAATGAGTAGCTGTTGGATGGCTGCTGCATTTAAGGGCTCCTTCTCTAGCCTTATTACCACCCAAAATTCAGTTGCTTTTTCTTTGCAGCAAAGATTTTTTCTAGACATGGAAGTGGATGACCTACAGAAGTCAGCACCTTTAGCCATCTGGGCCAAACTCATCAAGAGTGTTGAATTTGAACTTTGTGCTTCCTCAGACACATGTGCGTTTCTGTCAGAGGTGTGGCTGAAAGAGGCCTCTGATCTGAGTGATCCCTTTTTACATTATGAGTATACTAGCACATACAAGACTCTTCAGATTTTAAAAGTAACTATTTTTAAAAATATTTATTATTTTTTTATATGTATGAGTGTATTGCCTGCGTGTAAGTGAGTGCACCCATGTCGTGCAATGCTTCGGAGGTCAGAGGAGGGCTTCGGATTCCCCTGAAATTGGAGTTAAGGACAGTTTGTAGCCGCCATGTGGGTTCTGGGAATCAAACCCGGGTCCTCTGTAAGAGCAATCAGTGCTCTTAACCACTGAGCCATCTCTCCAGCCCCAAAAGTATTTTTTAAAAAAGTTTTCAGGATGGAGAAATGCTTAGCAGTTGAGTGTTTCCTGATCTTCCCAGCACCTACATCATGTGACTCAAAACCACCTGTGACTCCAGTCTAAAGGGATCCGATATCATCTTCTTGACTCCATGGGATCCCCCCATACATACTTCATTCACTCACAGACACAGATAAACACACACACATACACACACACACACATACACACACAGAGAAACACATTAATAAAAATCTTTAAAATTTTTTTGGGGGCTGGAGAGCTGGCTCAGTGGTTAATAGCACTGGCTACTCTTGCAGAGGACTCAGGTTTGGTTCCCAGCACCCACATGGTGGCCAACAACCATCCATAACTCCAGTTCCAGGGGATCCAACACCCTCTTCTAACCTCTGTGGGCATTGCACGACACAGATGCACTTACCTACATGCAGGCAATACATGCACTCATACCTATAAAAAAATAATAAATACTTAAAAAAAGGTTTTGGCTTTCCTCCATCTTGTGCGGACTGCACCTCTCACCCGAAGCTGAGGGACAGTTTCAAATAATGTCATTGCTGGTTTGTGGAAAAGGACCCCCAGGAGATCGGTGTGGCTCATGCGAGGTGAGTTCTTTTTGGCTGGCTGATTTGTAATGATTTACATTTAGATTGTTGCTAGTTGCTCTTATGAAGGAAGGAGGGGCCTGGCCCATGTGTCTGCCTCAGTCACCACACTGACTGGTTCTGGACAGCTTCACTCAGCAGAGCTGGGAAATAGGCTGAACTTGTTTTCGATTGTTTTCATCAAAGGACTTATTTAGTTCGTTTGTATTGGGGAGAAATGTCATGTAGGACTGGAAGAATTAAATGAGATGAAAAATGAAGTTTGCAGCTGTGAAGAAATGGTGCAGGGCCTTGATGGTAGTGCACACTCGGTGGGGCTGGAGCTGTGGGCACGCTGTCCCCTTGTCACTGTTGGGGCCAGGAGATAACCCTGTCAGTGTGCTGCTGCTTCTCAAGCCCCTTCAGAAAGAAGGTAGGGATGACCCAGGCGAGGGTTCATTGTCCAGACAGTGCTTGCCCAGTAGGTTGTCTTACCCTCTCCGAGTTGATTCTCCTGGGAGGCTGTGCTAAGGCTGCTGTTTCATTGCTGTGCTCAGATGCCTGGCAGAAGTGATGACAGGGAGGGAGGAACGGGTTACTTTGCTCATAGCTTCAGAGGTTTCAGTCCATCCCAGCAGGGAGGGCATGATGGGCAAGTCACATCAGGGCAGGCAGGAGGCAGAGAGAGTAACAGCAGGAGGGTCCAGGAAAGATATGCCCCCAGTGACTTCCTTCCTCCATCCAGGCCCTGCTTTCCACAGTCCACCGCCTCCCAGTTGTCTGTATAAAATTTGAATCCAGCTGGGCGTGGTGGTGCACACCTTTAATCCCAGCACTTGGGAGGCAGAGGCAGGCGGATCTCTGAGAGTTCAAGGCCAGCCTGGTCTACATAGCGAGTTCCAGGTTAGCTGGGGCTACAGGGAGACCCTGTCTCAAAAAGACCAAAAAAAAAGAATCCATTAATGGATGGAACCTGGAACATAGAACCCTCCTGACATAATCATCTCCAGAGATGCCCTTATAGACATACCCAGAGGTGTGCTTTACTAATCTCCTAGGTGTTTCTTGATCCAATCAAATTAACAAGATTAACCATCACAGTAAGTGCTGTGGAGGGATATAAGGCAGGAAAAGAGAGGGGAGGAAGAATGAGGGGCCTGGCCTGTGTGTCTGCTTCAGTCACCACACTGACTGGCTCTGGACAGCTTCACTCAGCAGAGCTGGGAAATAGGCTGAATAGGCTGAACTTGCTTTCGATTGTTTTCATCAAAGGACTTGCTTACTTGGTTTGTTTTGGGGAATAATGTCATGTAGGACTGGATAGGGTGATCTACGCAGACTGAGTCAAGATTTTGCTGAAAATATGACTGTGAAGCAGACTTAGGCTTCCCCTGAGATCTGGATGAATAGAAGGTTTTGCAAAGGTCCAGCAGGAGATTATCTGGAGGCAAGTGTGGATGGAACAGCAAGAGGAAGCAGTGAGGGGTGGGCAAGGTCACACTGTGCAGGTCCAGAGCAAGCATTTGGACTTTTGCTCTGAGAAGGGAGCTGTTAGAGGATTTTGAGCAGGAAAACTTGAGGGGGCCACCTGGCTGCTGTGTGAGAGAGACTGGAGGGGCAAAAGGGGTGAGCAGGATGATGGTTCAGAGACTTGTCCTGGGCTGGGTGCGATGGGTATGGTTTAGACCACAGCAGAGGTGGTGGGGAGCTGAGTGGCGGTAAGGTCTGGCTTATTTTGAAGAGTACCATTTATGAGATTCCCTTCCAGAGGGCTAGAACGCAAGTTGCTCTGGAGCTTTGGCAAGAGATGCTGTCTCAGGATGCAGCAGTGGCTGTCACAGACATTAGGAGCCCCAACCCAGTGCCCTTTTTGGAAAGAAAGAGTTACTTGTAACCTGGTCGTAGCATGAACTTTGCTGTGTTTTAGTTCCTTTTTAAAGGTTTTATCAGGTATACTTTGTTGTGTGCTACACCTTTCTCCAGCCGCTGTAGGGCTATGGTCCCAAAGGCTGCCTCTCTAGCCCCTCTCGCACCCAGTGGAGACGCTGCTTGGGAACAAGCTGTCAGTTAGGTTGGGCTGATAACAGTACTAGAACCTAGCTATTTTGTGTTCAGGAGGAGTTTTGCTAGAACTGGTTATCAGTCAGCCATCAAACCTATTTTGGGGTGTGGAATTATGCTAAGCATAGGTATTAAAACAAAACAGGTATAGTCTTTTAAAAGAATTATGTCTTGGCTAGAGAGATTGTTCCATAGTTAAGAGCCTATACTGTTCTTGCAGAGGACCTGAGTTCAGTTCCCAGCACCCATGTGGGGTAGCTTACAGCTGCCTGTAACTCCAGATCCAGGGGATTCTGACACCGTCTTCTGGCCTCCAAGGCAACTGCACTCACATATAGAGACTTTCACACATATACACTTACTTTAAAAAAAAAACTAAATCCTTTAATATTTTATTTATTTTTAACAAATATTTATATATTTTTAAATTTTTATGTGTATGAGTATACTGCCTGCATATGTGTAAGTGCACCTGTGTCATGTAATGCCCACGGAGGTCAGAAGAGGGCATCAGATCCCCTGAAACTGGCTAAGGATGGTTGTCAGCTGCCATGTAGGTGCTGAGAATCAAATCCTGGTCTTCTTCAAGAGCAACCAGTGCTCTTAATCACTGAGCCATCTCTCCAGCCCCCAAAATAAAAATAAATCTTTAAAAAGAGAATTATAGACTTGAAGCTGGAGTTGTAGCTCTGTTGATAGAGTACTTGTCTAATACTCAATGAAACTCTGGATGAGCCCTCGTACTACATAAGCACTTGGGAGGTAGTAGCAAGAGGATTGAGGTCAAGGTCATCCTCAATGCATAGCAAGTCTGAGGTCAGCCAGGGCTAGAGACCCTGTCTCTTCAAACCAAACTAACCAACCAACCAAACCAAAAAAACAGTCTGCTTGAGAACAAGCAGATGCCCAAGCAGAGCCCCTTGGTGCAGTGAAGAGTGGGGTGAGAGAACGCACCAGTGCCCAGCTGGAATGCCCTCTTTGTGGAAACACCTGGTTTTGAAAACACGACTTAAAGCTGATTTTTGTTGAACCTCCTCCCCGCCTCCAGGCTGGCTTGTCAGAAGTCAGCTATAAGGTATGAGCTTGTCACAGTTTGAACAGTGTATAAAGCGAGTGAGAAAACTAGCTGTCTCGCTCACACAGGTCCGGTTCCTTCCTGGTCAGGAGCAGTGGCGTGTTGGGAAGGCACTTGGCATAGCAGTAACCTGGACAGTTAATTGTGTTTGCCCTGCCAGACTCTAATCCGGTCCCAAATGTTTTGGTCAGATTCACAGTCTGAGAATGAAGCTTCACCCGTGAAACGGCCACGACTACTGGAGAGTGCTGAGCAGCCTGAGGAAACCAGCCGATCAAAACAGAAGAGTCGGCGTCGATGCTTCCAGTGCCAAACCAAGCTGGAGCTGGTGCAGCAGGAATTGGGATCCTGTCGCTGTGGTGAGCCCCACCCCCTGTGGCATGAGGACCCCAGCAAAGGGGCTAAAGCCCTTCTTTCCTCTCCCTGCACCCCCTGAACTCCGGGGTCAGAACTGGTGAAATCGGAAGTGCACATTCTTGCTTTGAGTACCTTCATGCCCCCTGCCCATGTGAACAGGAGCACCCTTACCCGTTCTGCTCCGGCAGTGAAGCCCCTGGTCACAGTACTAGCTCCTCCTGGCCTCTTACTACTCTGGTTCCTTCCCTTTCATGACCTTAGAAATTAACCAAACCAGCAGCAGTCTGTCATGTATAAAATTCAGGTACTAGATTCATTTTAGATGAGCTTCTTAACATGGTAAATGAAAGATTTCTCCCTCCATCCCTTTTAAATTCAGGTTTGGTTATAAGTTTTTCACTTTGGAGCCTTAATTCAGCCAGTGAGTTAACACCTTAAAGGAGCTTGAACGTAACCTCAGTTCTCCAGCATAATGCCACCTCTTATGATGCCACCTCTTAGGACTTCTGCACAGGGAGCTTTCAGTGACTCAGTCCTGTCAGCACTGTTGGGAAGCCTCCTTAGCCATTTTGCCTGTTTCCTTTGTAACTCAGACCTTTGGTTGTTCCTCAGAGTGGTGGGAATTTTCTCTGCCTTATGCTCTTATTTCCCTCTTGAAAGTGACGGAGTCCTTGATAGTACACAGAGTTTGCCGTGGCGGATCAAGCAATTGGTCAGGAGTACTCACTGTCTGACCTCCAGCAATGGCTTGTTAGGCTGGCAGGGAGAATTCACAGATTACCTCTTAGATCCCGGTCTCTCAGTTTACCCTTGGCTTTGATGCGAACCACTCAGTTTCCTAAGGTCTTGGCACTCAGCCGAAAAATGTTTAAAAAGTTGTTAGGTGATTAGTCATGCCTCCACCATCAAAGTGTCTCAGTTGTTCCACAAGCTCTTCCCCTCCCTGGGCAAGAGGCTGGGTCTAAGTATCTACTGGGTTCACCACAGACCTACCTACATTCTTTCTCAGTTACCTAACAGGTATCCCTTGTCTGTGCTCAGTTCTGAGACTTGTCTTTTCTAATGGGAAGAGAACTCTGAGCTTTATGCAGTTCCCACAGAAGGAGCCGTCCTAGAGTGTCAGGAGTTAACTTTGGTTCACTCATAGCCCTATGCCATGTGCACAGAAGAGTGATGCATCAACTGCCACAGACAAAGAGACGAAGGATAGCTCAGAGCTGTCTTTGAGAAACTGCTCAGTGTTCCTCCCTCCTGTCTGCCTGCTTGAATTCCTCTAAGAAGGGGTAGGTTGTGTGGTTATTTCCTTAAGGAGGTATGTAATGTTGGAGATGTTACCTGCCCTGAAAGGTTCTAGAGGGAACCTTGAGAGCAGGAGTTTACTACAGAAAGTGAAGACTCTGGAAGTAGTGTGAACTCAGACAGAGCTGTTCTGCACTGCAGAAAATCTTTTATATATATATTCGCAGTCTTTTCTTCTATTCCCATCCACTCTGTACAGGTTATTAACTGCTGACAAGAAATTCACATCTCATAAATAATGCTTAAGAGCCATTGCTATATAAATTGAATGTGTTATGAATTGTGATGGGCCTTTTTGTAGCATTCAATGCCTAGAGCAGGAAGAAGAGAGGATGTCATTTCCATTAATTTCTAATGAGGTGCCAATTAAAGGCAGAGAAGATGCTCCAGAGGGAAGAGTGGCCAAGCTCCCCTGAATCCTCCGCCCCAGGGCTGTCATCCAAACACTGCCAGTAAACCCTTCTCTAAAAATTCCATTACAGTCTCATGGAGAGCACACACAGACACATTCGGCTTCCCTTTGATCTTCAAAAGAGCAATTTGTAAGGAGTTCTGAGCCTTCCCACACAGGGAACAGCTCTAGGTGATAGGAATTGTTAATTGCCAAGATGCTCCATGGGCTTTCAATAAGGAGGTGGGTTTGAAGATGAATTCTCCTCTGCCTCACTGTGGTTGGATAACCTTTAAGTCAATAGTGCCAGAGGAACGCCCTTTTCCTGTGAAACCTTCCCAGGTGCCAATTAGAACAGGCGTGTGTTGGGGCTGGAATAGTTTCCTGCATCCTAGAGTGTCTTCAACAGCCAAGTTCTCAGGAGGGAAGACAGCTGCCCAAGGTGTCTTCATTTCGTTTCACTTCTTAGTTGACAAACTGACAGTTCATTCTCAGTCTTACCTCCTAAGATGCCACCCTAGAGGATGTTCGTCTGAAATCACCACTGTCTGCAGGTCTGGGCCACGCACAGTGCCGGAATGCCGTCTGGTGTGATGCATGCAGCTGGCCGTTTAGTTGCTGTGCATTGCTTCTCAGAACCACAGAATGACTTTCTAAGTGCCAGTCTAGGAATTTGAGTATGTTTTTGCATATTTTCAGTAGCTAGTGACTTAACAGAGTGTAAGCACTGGATCAGAAGTGTTTTTATTAGCCTCATAGGTAATCTCATTTTCTTAGTTTTCAAAGTAAGTTTTCTACTCTCTTTAGAAACTGGTGGTGCCGTAGCCAGGGCCTCGGGGTGTATTGTTGCCACCTCCTTTGTGGTCATTTCGCCCGTCATTCACTGTCAAACCAAGGTGTCAAGTGTTCGTTGATAGGACCATATAAAACATTTTGCTATTGAGGAATAAGAGAAATACAGAATCTAGGAGTTGGACATGCCAGACATGGATTGCTGGCCCACTCTCAGAGGTTTTGACCAGGAAAACAAGTCCCACATGATGTTCATACCACTCTGGACAGCTCTCAGTCCTTGAAAATTTTTTAAATTAATGAATTATTTTTATCTATACGAGTGTTTTGTATGTAAGTACACCATGTGTGTACAGTGCCCACAGAGGCCAGAAGAGGGCATCACATTCCCTAGAACTGGAGTAACAGAAGGTTCTTAGCTGCCATGTGGTGCTGGGAACTGAACCTGGTCCTCTGGAAGAGCAGCCAGTGCTCTAGCTCAGCCACTTCTCTAGCCCCCTTGGAGGCTTTTTACAAAAAAGACTCCCTGGCCCCACTGCAGACAAGTTAGTAGAGGTCTCTAGGTATTATATTCAGCTATTTATTTGGTCATAAATTTTTTTCCCCAACCATTTGAGGGTTAGTTGTGTTTGTCATGGCCTCTTGCCCCGACAGCTTCCCTGACTGCTAGAACTTGGGTGGACAGTGTCCATCATTCTGTGTCAGCAGTGCTAGCACAGCTTTGGGGTGCAGGGGTTGTGTCCTGTCCTGGGTCTGGCTCCATGTTCCACTTTTGTCTGTGAATCCAGTGATACCCCTTCTCCAAGCCTTGTTTCCCTTCAGTGCAGGATCTGGTCCATGATCTTGTGTTGCATTTAGTTGTTACCTGCATTTAGGCTCCTTTAACCTAGAACATGTTCAATCCTTTCTGTTTTGTGGTGTTGGCATTATCTTGAAGAACACCCCTCCCTCCCTCCTTTTTTTCCTCCCTCCCTCCCTCTCTCTCCTGCCCGCCTACTTTTTTAAAATGAGACTTCCTTGTTCTGGGTTTCTCTGGTGTTTGTCTATAATTAGGTTTCAGCTGTAGTACTACACGCTTGATGCTGTGCCCTGCTCAGGGTTTTATGCTGGGGGAACAATGTTCATCAGTCCCTCAATATTGATGGCACTTTGTTTCACCCCAGCCAAGGTCTCCCCCACTTCCCCTACTTCATACTTCCCCATTTCTCCCTTGTACCTAATAAGCAATATGTGGGAAATACTTTCACAGCATATTAACATCCTGCTTCTCATCAACATGCCCTCGAGATTCAGCATCCAGTCATGATTCTTGCTTGAAGCAGCCTTTTAATATTATGGCTGTAACATGATTTCCTAAGTCTAGACCAGAGTCCACAGTGGTCACTTGACACTCTTGACTTGATTCTTCCAATACTATACATGGTGATCTTTGTTGTTTGTTTTCTCACAGTGTCCCAGATTTGGCCAAGTTGAAGTTTCTTTAGTCTGACTCCTATGTCCTGTGACCAGTTCCCCATCCGTTGAGGTGGATTCGGGGAGGAGTGGGAACAATTCTTTGCTCTTTGGCATAACAAGATTTGTCAAAGGACCTTGTGCTTGCTTTCTCTAGTCCTAGATTCAGCTACTCCTCCAAATTCTGTAAGATGATTTTCATACGCAGTCTGTGGTGATTTGCTGAAATTGAGGTGAAGGTATGCACATACACAAAATAACTAGTACCCAGGATAGCCTGTCATTAGAGTTTTTACTAAGTGACAAGACATATGTTAAAAAGGGTATGGGGATTGGGGGCTCAGTTTGAGCTAGAGGAATCTAGACAGACTCCTGCAATTAAACCTTAAGAAAGGGTATGACGTAGATGCAGGAAAGGTGCATGCTCAATCCCTCTGTGTTATGAAGATGGTCTCTCCAGCAGGATGGAGCCTTGCATCCAGTGAGGAGGGAATCTTAGAAATGGAGGAAAGGGCTCCAGGCTGAGGAGTTTTGGAGTTGGCTTGTGGTAAGAAACCACCAGTAGTTTTGAATACTGTCAAAACGTTTAAGTTTTTTTAAAACATTATTTTTATTTTATGTGCATGAGTGTTGTGCCTGCATGTATGTAAGTGCCCCAAGTGCATGCAGTGCCTGCGGAGGTCAGAAGAGGGTGTTAGATTCCCCTGAAACTAAAGTTAAGGAAGGTTGTTAGCTCCCACATGGGTGCTGGGAACTGAAGCTAGGTCTTCCACAAGAACAGCCAGTGCTCTTAACCACTGAGCCATTTCCAGCCCCCAACCCCTCTTTTTAAATTAAACACACAAGAACACCAGGGAGGCAGTTGAATGGTTGTAGACAAAGTAAGGTGACTGGTGAAGTGAAAGGAACGTGTGCGCAGAGCTGCTGCTGCTTCAGGACTGCATAGTGAACCAGTGTTGGTGCTCTAGAGTCAGAGTAGGGCAGTAGCCGTGATTAATCCATGTGCCTGCGCCTTTAATTCCTCTTCAAGTCTGAAACTTGTCACATGGCATTTTGTCCCATGTCTCT